TCTAGTAGTGGAGACAGCCCACTCTTAGGGAGCTTACTCACCAGGCAAGATAGAAGCTGGTGCCCCAGGCTACAGGCAGGATTAAGACCCAGTATTGTCAGAGAGAATAACAATATAATTTGAAGTGGTGATTATAGCATACTCTGTAAAGGTTTCAATTTGGAATCCAAATGACAAGAACGACACAGCCAGTTGAAGATCCTAGGAAAGTGAATTACAGGCAGAGAAAACAGCCAGAATACAGGCTAGGAAGGACCGGGAAGGCGCTGAATGCTTTTGGGTAACAGGAGGAAGGCAGACACTGCTGCAGGTCCACAGTGTGTGAAGATCTGGGAACAGGGAGACAGGAGGGCGGCTTTCACGATGGACTCTGTTGTGAGGGAGAGGTGTACGTTCTTGTGTGCTCTGGTTTTGAAGAATCTGAGGGAAGATGGCTGAGCCTGCATTTGGAGGCAGTTCCAGAGGGAGCTGGGCCGGGTGTCTGCTGCTGGCAGAGCCATTGGCACCGCAGCAGGAGCCCTGGCTCTGGAGCTGCCCACGCTGTCCCTGTGCGGGCCGTGTGCTCACTCCGGGCTGGGCTGACTGTGGTACCTTCCTCTGAGCACTCTCCAGACAAAGACGGTCACCCATGTGAACTCACAAAGTTCCCTTTATCTCATCTTACCATCAGCCGTGTGAGAATACATGTGTCACAGGCAGATCAGCTGACTTCTTAACAAGGGGTTGGGCTACAGAGAATGGGTGTGTCAGGGCAGTTGCACACACAAGCCGGAGCAAACTACTCACCTACGTGTGAGTGCGCTGAGCCTGCTTCACGCCTGATGTCCTGTAGCAGCATTCCTGGCAGCCAGTAGAGAAACAAATGTGTATGCTGTACGACTCATGGCTGGGTATCCCAAGGACAAGCACCTGGAAGTCTGCCTTTTTGAGCTAAGTCTATAAATATTTGGAGTCATCAAGCTTTGGGTCAAATCAGCCCTTAGCATCAGGAAGGCAAAACCAATAAACATTGAGATTGTTTTATTACATCAAAGTGAGGAACCTTTACATGCCACTAGTAGCACTAGAGATTCAGCGGCAGGCAGATCCATTCCATACAGTGCCACAGTGAGACAATCGTAATCCCAGTGTTCCTCCTCCTCTACCTAGTCGCCTAGTACAGCCATTAGAGATATTGTTGGAAGGCAGCTTGGTTGTCCTCTTGCTGTGTTGTTGAAGTTAGGGCCTAACAGAGCGGATAAATGAAAGCAGGGAAAAGGAAGGTGGGGCGAGGTCTCTTCTAATACAAAAAGCAATCCAGAGGGAGTAGAGGCTGGCAATCTTCTGAAAGGAAATGAAAGGAAATTCTTCACTTCTAAACGGTTCATTGACCCATGATAATAAAGCAGCCTTGCCAGAGAAGGATAATTATCTTTTTAAGTATCAGATGCCCTGTGGGTGAAGGCCTCCCTTCTCTTCTCTTCAAAAATGAGCTCAGATTAAACAAATGTCCCTTTTCCTGGTTTACTGTTGGTGTGAATTTCTTGATTATGAGCAACATTAATCAGTTTACCGGTCTTTTTTCTCCCACTCTCTCATGAAAATCAGGCTTGCCCAGCTGAGCTCTGCACACTTCCCTGGGGCAGCGAGGTCCACCAACACTGGGGCAGCGAGGTCCACCAAAACTGGGTCAGCGAGGTCCACCAACACTGGACGGGTTAAAGTGCTTGACAGTCGGTGAGACCAATGGCAGGACTGGAGTTGTGTTAGGCCCCTTTGCTGCTAGCTTCAGGCAGAATGCACTGTCGTAAAACAACAAGAAAAAAATGGGATAAAGAAATAGAAATAATTACCAGTGTGTGTTCTCCTGCTGGTACTTGAAAATAAAAGATAGCCTCTGATGGTTTGACATCATGATTTTTTCAGCTTTACAAAGATGGGAATGTACATCTTTCTGTTTTTCAGATTCAGTAGCATATTCAGAAAGTTAAAATAGGTATTCCACACTTTATTTTAAAGTATGTTTTGCATTGAATCATTTTGTCCACTAATGCAAGTGTTCTTCATGGGTTCAAGGTAGACTGAGCTAAGCCATAATGTCTGACGGGCTAGATTTGTCAGGTACATTCATGACTCAAGATACTTGGAGCTGCCTTTCCCAGCTCGCTGGATGCAATGCCTCGCAAGTTGAGGAGCAGCTGTTTATGTACACACAGAGCCATAGACATGTACGTGTAGCTATGCTATGAGTTCAAACACAAAAAGTAACGAAATGATACTGATGTATACCAGTGAACATACTAATTTGCCGTAAGTGATTAAACCTATTCTTTTTCCTCTAGATATTATTGACTGCTGAGATTGGTAATGTAAGCATGCTGCCTATCCAGCTTGTAAAATGCCTTACGACAATTTCCTTTGTTTAAGCAGACAACTCTTGGCTGCGAAATTTGTTTCCAACTCTTTTCCTGGACTCTGAATAATCAGTGTGAGGCGCCCTTGCCCTAAATTGCTTAAGCACCTGTATCCCAGTGACTCTTCCCTCATTGCTGGGACATATACCTGACCCAAAATGAAGGAAGGAAAGGTTTATCTAGCTCACAATCAGTAGAGGTTTCGGTCCCTGCTCAGCTGGCTCCTAGGTAGAGTGGCACATGGCAGAGAGCAGCCTTTCATGGCGGTGGCAAAGAGCAGACAGCGTGGCTGACACTGACAAAAGATCTGCAGAGAGCGAAAGAAGGAGGAGCAGCAACAATGGCGACAGAGAGCAAGTCTCCCTTAAGTTGCATTCATGCTATCTGACAGAGGCTGGGTGTAGTTCTCACACCCATAATCCCAGAAGTTCTCACACCCATAATCCCAGAAGTACTCACACCCATAATCCCAGAAGTACTCACACCCATAATCCCAGTGGCTCATGAGTTAATCACTAACTCTAGAAAACGGGTGGATCGGGACTTAGTCCCAAGCTCTCGAAGTCCGCCCCACAACTGCATGAGGCTTTGGGGGTATAACTAGACCCAAACCATAACAACACATCAACGCCATTAGTTATAAATGAATCTCAGTGTACATTTTCAGAATGTCATTATTCCTTTTAAACATAAAATCAACTGCTATCACTATTCACTATCTATTTCAACCATTTCCTTTGAAAGTAAATTAGAAGTTTAATCATGATGCTGAACCTAGAGAAGCCTGGTGTTCAGCCTGGTTCTCCAGTTCAGTGTCTTTGGCTCTGGGGAAGGCAGAGCTTCAGAACAAGGCTTAGGAGATAATGGTCAGGCAGATCGTGACTCCTGCTGTCCTTATTTTGGCAGGCGCTGAACTCATTCTGTATGCTAATGCTTTTTTCTGAAGAGAGACTCTTCTGCTCACCCCTGGCTTCTCTTTCAGAGTATAATTACCCATGTTGTTAAGCTCTTTTTGTGGAGTCGGTTGGTCAGAGGAGCTCAGTATTGTGGGTATCATCAGACACCCAAAGCAGGCAGAGTGGTCCATAGCTACCCTCTGGCAATGTCCTCGTGTGTCCGCTGTGGCCAATGGAGCACTTCTCTGACCTGCATCCCAAAGCAGTGGCTGATTTGTTTCAGATGACCCAGAGAGTCAGGACAGTGGTGGAGAGACATTGCCAAGGGACCTCGCTTACCTTTCCAATCAGGCGAGTGCACAGATGTCCAGAGTGATTTTTCTTCCTTTTTAAATCTTGGCTGCAGGTTCAATATGCCCCACATTTGACCAGGAGGCAGCTGTGCTTTCTACATTTATGTAGCAGTGGAAAAAGATGATGCTAATCTTGGGGAGCGCTGCTGACCCACAGCCCCTTGGGAACTGTCTACAGCGCTGTTTACAAAACGGGTGGGAATTCTTGATGTGGACTCGAATGGGCACTAAGACGTTCCAGTCTGATCCTGGAGCAAGGGCTGGACAAGTCGTTTTCCTTCCGTGCTAAATGTGTGTTGGGTGCTGCACAGACTGAGGCCTGCTTCAGGCCCTTCCAGGGGAGCGGCACATGCAGGTCACCTTGAGCCTTGCCCTCATGGGGACTGCCTTTTCCCTGTCTTTAAAGCAAGTTACAGTGACTGACCGTGGTTGGCACAAAGCTAGATTGGAAGGTGGGGTGTGGCCCACACTGCTGTGATGAAGCCAGGATCTCAGCCCCTGCAATCTTTGGTAGAGGCTAGGCTAATACTCTTCAGGTTAGGATCGGGAAGTCCATGCTACGTCACGGCCTGGGAGTTGCGTAAATCAGAAGTAAGTCACCATGTGCCCCTGCAGATCCCCTGGGGAAAATTCTGGGGGTACCAGTGCACATAGAAACCTCTTATGGCTCTGAAGTAGAATGACTTTGTGCTTGCCCTCTGGAAAGACGTTGTTTCTAGGTGGAAGAGCTCTGTCCTTGGTCCTTTTGCTAAACTAATATTTGCTCTTCTCTGCCTAGGCAGACTTTCACTATTATTAGTAGTAGCAGCAGCAGCAGTAGCAGTAGTAGTAATAGTGGTGGGAATCGAACTCAGGACCTTGTGCTTGCCAGGCAGAAGTTTGCCCCTGAGCTAGATCCTTGGCCCAGCCTTCAAAGAAACTACAAGAGAGAGCCAGTGTCTTCAGGCCATTTAAGGCTCAGACTAAAATTGTTCATCTGGCTAAAACAGCAAAACAGATCAAGTCACCCTTTTTGTGTGTTGTACATTAAGCCATTTGGGCTACTTTCAGGCGGGTAGTCTAGCTGAAGATGCATTAGTTAAGCATCTACGCGGGCCATCTTTCTGGAAGGAATCCATGAAGGCAAATGGATGAGAACCTCAGTCACAGCTCACTGAAATCCCAGAAGAAAATTCGCAGGTAGTGGACATGCCAGGGCTGCTTGTGTAACCTGGTGCCCTAGAAAGTTAGTTCCACAAGTAAAAGAACTGATTTGCGTGTAGTACTTGGCGTCCTTTCATATATGCAGTAGAGAGCTATTGAACTTTCTTTTACTGTAACCCACAGTGATAGATAGATGATAGATAGATAGATAGATAGATAGACAGACAGACAGATAGATAGAAAGATAGATAAAACAGTTATGTTTAGTGCCTCCCTCACATACCCCTACATAGATAGGAAAACCCAGACTTTGATGAAACCATATTTACCTATTCTGTGTGTTGTAAGTATTTGTCTTGTTAGAATATACTAATATCTTAGTATCAATTTCTTAGGTTGCTGTACCTTTATTTTTTACTATCATCCACAACCTACAAAGTTGGCTTCATGACCCACTGGAGCGCCGGACCTTCCAGTTCGCAGAGCACAGACCAGCAGAGTTCTTGCAACAGCCCGACAGGAGTTCTCCCCATGTCGGGCAGGCCCACAGAGGGAGGCAGATTTGGCCAGAGTCATTCCAGGGTGATTCCATTCGGGAAGGTCCAGGTGTAGAGTGGTCGCGTCCTTCCGCTTTGTCGTGTGGCTGGTGCCCGGGCTAGTCTGCTCATTTTCAACTGGGATATTGTTATTGTTGGGCTTCACAGGCTGGGAGAGGGGCACGAGGTCAGGGAGAGGTCCAGCCGCACTGCACACTCCCGCTCCCTCGCCAAGGTCAGGCCAACTCCGGGGGCTTTTCTCACTTGTCATCCTCCATATTCTTGCCTAATGGATGACAGTTACAGCCGATTTCCTGAGCAGAGACTTAGAGCAATCAGACGTTAATTAAGCTACCATGTCTGATTTAAAGATAACCAAAGATGTGATACTTCACCTCCCCAAACATTTTCAGCCTGCCTTTTAATGCAATTAAAACCATAGCCAGGAGCAAAGAGCATGCAAAGTAGCACGGGATTGGCTTGCTGGGTAATTTAGACCCTTTTTATACATCGCTTCTCACTCTCAGGCAGAAATGGAGAACTGCCCGGCCCCACACACTGGAGGAGAGCGGGCCCCTGAGAATACTATAAATTAACACACAATGAAATTGGATCTAAATTATTAATAGGAAATATTTCTGAATAAGCAGGAGATACCATCTATCCAGTCTTCACCTCTGCTGGGTTTTTTTTTTCCTCTCTCTCTCTCCTAGGATGGCCCCGAAGCTGGACAGACTGTGAAGGTGAGCGCTTCTTATGTGCATACAAATTAATAAGGGGGCAATTATGAGAACTAATAAAAAATCTCAGCAAGTCACTGGCAGCACATTGCTGTTTCATTATATTGTCTTCGAGGTCAAAGAGACCCTCAGTGGTAGAGCCATAAATCCTGGCATTATAAACTGTGCCAAACTATATGTTTCCCATTAGTTTACAAGACGTTTACTTTGGGTAGTAAAACTATTACTGTGCAAACCCCAAATTGGAAACTAAATCAAGAAGTCCGAAAACCCAAACTGAAGTTGGAGACACTACTGGAAGTGCTGGCTAGGCCACAGCACAGGGGCTCTCCGGGTGGGCCTTGGTGGCTCCCTCGTCTGTGGTTTCCTATGGAGTCTGGGACACATACCTTCAATTGTCTTCACAGCCCACTTTGCTTCTTCATTCTCCCGAGTGCAGGGACAGAAATTCTGGTGGCTGTGGTGGCCCTGGGTGTCTGGCTCCCTGTCCTCCTGGCCTTTTGTTTCTCATTGTTCTTCTTTCAACCCCCCAGTTACTCCTTTCTGCTGTTGGTATTTAATTCCAACCTCATGGAGTCAGGAGGGTTTGTAAGTGTGCTAGAGAGAATAGGAGGCTTTCTTAGAAGAACTTCTGCCTCCATATTAAAAACAAGACTAAAATCCTGGGTGCTTGTGAAGCTGAGTTTCAGCCCCCTTCACATAAATGCCAGTTCCTGTGTAGGTAGGTCCTATGCAGAAACCATAGAAAAGGAAGATTTTTGGTGCTAGAAATCAAAAGCAAGTTGGACTAAGGTGCTAATTTTATGCTTCACGAGGTACCATTTTATGGTTTTAAGTTGGCTAATGCTTGGCACCAGGCACGGCCAAATGCACATGATCCCTTTTCAATCTTGGTTCCTATGTAGCTTTACATTTAACACACCTCTTGTGGGACTCGGGGTACAATGCCTGGAAAGCACTTTGGAGGAGTGGCTGCCTCCAAGGGACTGCCACCATTGGGCCACTGCGTTTCTTGTGAAGAAAGAGGGACTAGCTGTCAGATGGCCATGACACAAGCAGTGGTGACTTGGACAGAGGGGTTCTCAGCTCTCCTCCAGCCCACTGTCTACACCCCTTTGTTATCCTTTCAAATATAGAAATACCAGGAAAGGATGTAATACCCCTGGGATTTTTTTTAGGAGATAGATTCTTGAAATAAAAAACCCAAATGCTTAAGCCTAGTTACCCGTTTTTGAACCTCAGGGCTCAAAAGCAAATTCCAACCCCACTATAATAGTTAGATGCTTTATCACAGTAACTATTTTTTTAAAAAAAAAATTTTGGGCCAGGCTGGCGAGCTAGCTCAGTGGTCTAGAGTGCCTGTTTAGGCAGGTTTAGGCAAAACCATATGGACTGTGGTTCAATCCTGGCACCACATGCCTCAGGGAGGGCTGAGCGGACCACACATACAAAAAAATAATAATTTTTATTTATTTATTTGTGTATTCGTGAATTTGGTACAGGGTGTCACCTCGCAGCTCGAACTCATAGTGATCCTCCTGTCTCAGCCTCCCCAGCACTGGCATTACATGTATGCGCCACCATGTCTGGTGTCGGTGGCTGGCTTGGTGTTGGACCAGCCCAGCATGCAGTACCAGGGATCTCCTTGTGCTTGCCATGCAGGCGCTTAGACGACTGAGCTGTCTCCCCAGTCCACAATGACTATTTGATGGAATTCCTTCAGCTGTTGAAAGTGACAGTGTGGAGGTAGAGCTAGTGACGCGGGAGACTGAGCAGTCCTCATTAGGTTGAATCTACAGATCTGAAGCATAGCTGAGATTTGTGTTATATCACCTCAAAATTCTAATGGGGGAAATTTAAAATATTTGCTATGCAAGCAGGCTTAAATAAAGGCAGAATGTAGATTACCGGGGCAAGGAGGGCTTGGGGAGTGATTGCTAATAAGAACGGGTCTTTTCCTAGGGTGATAAAAATTTCATGGCAGTAGATAGGGGTCATAGTTGTAGAACACCATGAATCTACTCAAACTCACTGCATTATACATTAAAAGTTAAAATTTATAGTATATAAGTTAGCTCTACGTTGAAGTAATGAGCAGATACGTGTAGCGGAACAAGTAAACATTAGGTCTAGCAGGGCCAGAAACTATGGCTATAGAATCTTTGACTTCAATTATCCGGCCCAAAATTTGAATGTGTAGATTGGCCTTGGTGATGGCAGTGACAGTTTTATTGTTAACATGCAGTGCTTGCTAGGTAACTCAGTGCGGTTTCTATGACCACTATGATTAACTTGCATGGGGTGTTTTCACTTTATTTTTTAAATTTTAGTTTCCTGATCCATGTGCAGTACACAGTGCTCACGTTCTCCATGTAAAGCTGGTGCCCACACACAGCACATCCGTACTCCTCTGTCTTCATCCCATATTCTCTCCTTCTCCCCCCTCTCAATTCCTTTCCCCTCTGAGAACAATCTACCTTCTATTAGCTTTTATTTTGCTGTTTATTTTCTCTAAAGTCAGCAGATTATATTGTTTTGGATGTATGTCAGTTCTTAATTGTTTCTGAACTGATTACAGAATTTACGCAGAATGCATTAGTGGGGGGCATGTTAAATCTTTTATAATATGTAGTGACATCGCACACAGACACGCACACACTACTACAAACTTTTGAAAAGTTGTTTTTTTAAGACAAAATCATACATAGAGAAGTGTGGGACTTGTTTTGTAAACTATGATTCTTCAAATTAACTTTGGTCTTAGTTAACAGCAAAACATTAATTCTCAGAATTTGGAGCATTCTGGAGGTTGGACCCAGGCCTACACTCCCAGCTGTGTCTCCCTTTATTTTTTCAATTTTATTTGGAGACAGTGTCTTGCTGAGTCACTAAGCTGCCTGGGCTGGGATTGAAGTGGAAATACTCCTGCCTCAGTCTTCGAGAGGGCTGTGATTACAGTCGAGTGCTGCCAACCCCGCCTCTCAGATTTTAAACCTGCTAATTTAGAATGCTGCAGTTGGGACTGGGGAACTTTCTCTACGAAGAAGACTCGTTGCTTACTGGTGAAAATTCATTTACTCTGTCCACGTCTTTTCAGAATGTAGGTGTTTTCTGCCTCAGTTCATCTTGCTGGGAACGACAGCGGATGGCAAAGGCCACATAAGCACAGCACGACTGCTTCTAGCCCTGGGACAGCCACAGCCACTCCAGGGAGCACCACAGCACCTGTGCTGCTCCGCCCTCCCACTCTGAAGAGCATAGTTCAAGGCTGAGCATTTGTACTTTGAAATCCACAAGGTCGCATGTCTTGAAGCAGGTTTGACAGCCAGCCGTAGGCAGTGCAGACCACTCTCTTCATCTTCACCTCTGGGTGATTTGCAGTGTTTGCTTGCTGCCTGGGTTGTGGGTTTGTCTCATGCTAGGTAGTAATGGCAATAAGCCTCGTTGTGGTCTTCCCTGCAAAGCTGCTGCTGCTCCTGGTAATGACGGCGCACTGCTGAGTGAGCCCTTGAACACGGTGCCACTTCAGGCTTTTTGTTTCGGAGGCTTTGCAGGAACGAGGGTGGCCTGGTTCACGCAGTAAGGCACTAACAGCAGGAAAAGGGAAATAGCAAGCAAAAAGAGTGGCTTCTTATTCCACAATTGATCGTTAGCTCTCCTGTTTTGGATTTAACAGTGGCAGGACGCTGCCATCCTCCAGGTAACGATTGCATGAACAGCACAGGCTTGAGAGAAACCCTTCCATTTGAGTCACATAACTCCGCAGAGCAGTCCTCTGCGACTCCTGCCCAGTACAGCCCCCTACAACTCCCAGTCCATTCCTCCTGCCTTCATTAGTTCTGCCAGGCATTCTACACTGTTTTCATGTTGGTTTATGCGCGTTTCTTTTGTTTGTGCAGTCCCTTAGATTGGAAGCTTTCTGAGGATCTAAATTTGTGATTGTTTCTGAGGGGGCTGAGAATTTTCGATCCCAAAATATGGTGTGTGGAGGCTTGCTATTTAGAAGAAGAAGAAATGAAGAAAACTATGGAAATAAGATGCTTACTCTCTGGTCTTGTCCCAACTTCCTGCCCTGAAGTAAACCACAAAAGTGATATCTGAGCTCCTACTTACCCTAAAAGCAGGTCCTAAGACTCTCATTCCAAAAAAGCTCTGCCTTATGCTTAAAGGCTAAGATGACTGAACAAACAGACTTTACCAAATTTCTCCAGGATTTTGCCTTGCACCACACCCCTTTGTCCTCCATGTTTGTGTCTGACTGCCCACAGAAGGGACAGTTTTCTTATTACATGGGTCTTCTTTTCTGAAGCCTCTTGGGTCACATGAAACTCAAATTTGTTATAGTTTTCTCTTGTTAATCTATACTTTTTATGAGGAGTTAGCTAGGAACCTCATGATGGGTAAGGAAAAGATATTACTTTTGCTACCTTACGTTTCTGTAATTTTGTTTGGGGAGAAGAATAGAGGAACTAGGATTTTGTGTGATAAAACACACCTCTAAGTTCTTAACTCCAACTAACATGAAGTATCAGTTAGTGTGGGGCTGGTGAGATAGCTCAGTGGTCTAAAGCACCTGTGTAGGCAAGCTTAGGCAGGGCGGGGACTAATGTTTGATCCCAGGCACCACATCCTGCACCAGCCCCGTCCCCAGGGTGGGCTGAGCCAGCCACACACACACACACAAAGAAATATCAGTTAATGTGTATTTGTTTTCTGGTGAACAGTCAGGAGTGTGCTTTCCTGAGATTTCTATCAACTACATCTCCAGTTAAGGCATCATCAACAAAGACCAAACTTTCCACCAATCAAGTTCCCATATCATAATCCAAAAATGGAATTCTGACAAACCAAGCCATCCAAGCAGTAGTCATCCCTTTGAAGGCATATTGCTTAATAAATATAACATAAGCTATCTTTTAGGGCAATTACTATGCACATCTTAGGGTGGGAGGATGTTTAAACGTATTAAAGGGAAAGATTTATGCTACACAGGTAATCCGGAA